AAGGTGGGGGAGTGGAAACAAGAACAAAAGAGCCGAACAAAACAAAAAAAAGAAAAAGTAGAAATGTTAGTCATGGCCTTCTAAGCCTTTTGGATTTCTGAGCCTCAGTACTGTTGCTGTTTGGGGCTGAATAAGTCTGTGTTGAGGTGGGGACGGAATGTCCTACGTGTTGTAGGAACTTAGTGTCATCCCTGGTCTCTGTCCTAGGTGTCAGTAATGACTCCCATTTCTCCAGGATTGATGCTTTGGACATGGCCAGATATCCTTGGGAAGTAAAATTGCCTCTGGTTAAGAATCACTGTTGCATAGATTTGTTTTCTTTTGAGAGCAGTGGAGGGCGATAGTCAGGTTTTATTCAGGGGAGGACATAACCACATTTATACCTTTGGACAGTCGCTATGATTGGTAGCAGTGTGGCGAATCCTTTGGGAGTTGGCAGGATCTGAGGCAGGGACACATTTAAGGAGGTCATTGCTACAGTTCAGGAAAAAAAAAAGGAGAACTGTCTCATCTAAGGAAGTGGCTGTAGTAATGGAGAGAACTCAGACTTGAGGTATAATTAGGAGATGGACTCAGCATGATTTGGTGAGTTATGGACATAAGTGGTGAAGGAGAGAGAGCCATCAAGGCAGGCTCAGATGAAGATGATGGTGTGATTCACTAATGAAGGCAGCATAGACTTTTGTTGGAAGATCAGAGAGGATGGCTAGGATTTTTGCTGTGTTAAATTCAAGGGGCCTTGAGAACCAAGTGGAGATTTTTCTGCATAGCTCAAGCTCTCCTCCAGAAGGTAAGGACACAGCTCTGAAAGAGCCAGCAATCAGATGATTAAACTCGGGTAAGGCTGACAGAGAGGTGCGGGGTGGGCAGAGGTAGGAAATAAGGCAGGTAGACCTAGCAAAAGAGGGAGAGGCTGGCAGTGACACAAAGTTTGGAAGAGCTAGCTCTGTGAAAGGAGCAAACTGAACCTCCATAGTTCAGAGTGCTTCCTTTCCTTCAGTGGATGGATGGAAGTTTCTTATGCTCCCAGATGTGCATGAGGGTCATTCTAAAGTGATTGGGTTCTCTAAGACATAGGAGGGTGTCAGAGGTGTCTTTCCAAAAGTCAGGAACATCATATTACAGCCCAAAGTATAAATAAAAAGCAAAAACAAAAAAGATAGATAAAAGGAAGTAGAAAGATAGGTCTTTCTCAAGTGGGAAGGGAAACTATGGATAGAGCAGGGGGGAGAAAGGGAAAGAGGATGAGAAAAACAATTAAAATGTGTCATATACAGTGTACCAACGCCACACAAAGAATGTAAAAATTATATACTTCTAACATCTACTTACAAAGACATCATATTACTGCAAACATACATTAAAAAAAAAAAAGACTGGTTGTGGAGATATCCACATTCTTCCTGGTGTAACCCAAGAAGTTTTGTATTGTAAAATCTAGACTTGGAGGACAGATTCAGTGCCGCCACAGGACTGATGGTGGGCCAGGCTGCTGAATTATATAGGGGGTTTCTAATGGAGACATATCTCCCAGGCAGAGCTCTCTTGCCACTTTCTTAAAGAAAACTCCTGTTGAATTGATGATTAGTACAACTATGTTTCTGTTTAGTAAAAGGCACTTCTGATGAAAAGGTTATAACAACTTTAATTTACAGATTGTTTTGCTATCACTGAAGGGTTATGGTGTTCTATAACGTTTCTCAGACATCAGTATTGTGCAGTATTGTATCATTTTTTTCATGGGTGGTGTGTGCTGCACCTACCTGTCCTTTGAAGTTATGTACTAATGTATTATTTACAAGAAACTAAGATCCAGTGCATTCTAAATTGTTGTGATTTATCATGAGTGTTTCAGAATTGGGTCCCGTGGCCATATGCTAATTCAACTTGGAGGTAATTCTGTGCTATGTGCTTGAATTTCATGCTTAAAAATTTCAGCAATAGTTTCAATGCTCTATTAATTAAAGCAAGATACTTCATAACTTCTTCTGCATAATATGAAATGCACTCAGTTGTTCATATTTGAATTAAAACCACTAGAAGCCTTACATTTTCTGGTCCGGCAGTCTTTGTTTTTTAAAATTTATGTGTTCTGTCTGTCTCACAGGAATTGGGAAGTTTAAGATTTACAGCCATCCCAACTGGGAGAGTTGAAATTCTTGGTTAAAAGAGAGCTTGCTTATGTACTCAAGTGGAAACATGTGACTGGAAAAAATAACATTTGCATTACATTTGTAGTGGGCTATCTTCTGAACTTAATGCAGTTTTTCTTTCCTACCTAATGACACCATGAAGCTCTGGGGGAACATCTAGACACAACCATAACCCTAACCTACTAGTCTTGTGGTGTGTGTGTGGGAGAAACGATGTTTTATGTAATGCAGATTTTTAGCTATGACTGATTGGACCAGGATTGGGCTTCTCTGCACTAAGTGACTTCACTGAGTTTCTGCACCGGAGACTTTCTCTTGATTATAGCAGATTCCCAGTATGTCTTTCAGATACAGCCATTTTCTTCCATGAAAGTAGAGAAACTGAGAAAACATTTCTGCAGAAGTAGAAGAATGGAGAGAACAGACAAGAAAGAGCGGGAGAGAAGTCCCAGGCATTCTTGGAGCAGTTGAGTCCCCATTTCCAATGAACTCCCAAGACCCAGCTCAGTCAGCCTTTAAGGTGTGCAATAGACTCCTCTATTCTTGTACTAAATTATTTTGGGTGCTTAATGGAGCTCAAATGATTTCCTGCATGTGGAAGCAATAAGTGAGCTGCATTGTCCAGATTTCTATTTTCTGACTAAATGGTGATTTTTGTTTTGTCTACCCTTAAAATAAACTTTTTAATGAATTGAATGATATTTAACCTTTGATGTAACTAGACTTTGGTATAAAATGTTACTGATATTTTCTAAAAGCAGCAACAATAAGTACAAGAAATGCAAAATCTTATACAAATTTAAGAAACTAGATTCTTAAAGCAAAGGAAAATGCCTGTGTGGAAATGTTGGCTGGTTCCATACTTTTAAAAGTGGTATGAGGACAAAGAAAGGAGTAGGAGTTCTCAGTGATGAGAAGAAGGCAGTATATTGAGAGTGAGAACCTGAAAATAAAAGAAATTTAATTGTTAAATGGGAAACTGAATTTATAGGTGGTCACATGGCTAGTTGGCTCTACTGACAATTATTTGCAATTCTCTGTGTTATGGCCTGTGTTAAATGTCCCCCCAAAGCCTCATGCAGTCATAGATGGGACTTTTTTTGGAGGTGGGTGGATCTAGGGTGTGTGGTCCTGGAATTGATTCATGGTACAATGCTAGGCTCAAGGGCATTAGGTTAAGGGTGTGAGTCCTGCCTGCCCTAAGTAGCCTGGAGAAGATAAAAGGAGCAGAAAATCACTGTTAAGGTCTCCTGTTGCTTTTGCTACCTTCTGCCCACCATGGACTGTTTCTCCTCTGCGAAGCTATCCTGCCAATTATGAACTAAAATTTCTACAAACTGTGAGCTAAATAAACCTTTCCTCCCTTAACTTTGGGTGTCAGGTATTTTGTCTCAGCAGTGAGAAAAGGAACGAAGACACTCTGTGTCCAGAAAAAAACAATAATAGTTTCTCCATTTAGAAAGCCAGCATGTGGAAGTAGATAAAAGAATAACTTTTCTCAAAAAGAAGACCCTGAAGAAACGGGCAAGCTATAGTTCTGTAGAGCTACTAAATCAAAAGAATGAGAGGGAAGAGAAAGGAGAAAAAGAAAAAAAAAGCTAAGAAGGAAAGAGCAAAAAAAGAAAGAGTCTGCAGAAAGGAAGAAAATGGATGATACCATTTGGAAATCTAACAGAAAGATATGAAAAAAGTCAGATAGCTGTCCTCAGAACCAGAGTGGCAAACTCCAGCTTACATTTACAAATACTCTCCTGTCCAAGGCATTGGGTGTGTGCAAAATATATTGGCAAATACATTAGTAAAATTTCACTATCCTAAAGCCTCTTAGAGCATCCACTTGGCAAAATAATGTAATCCACTGTAATGCAAAAATAATTAACTGGCTCAGCACTACCTCTAAGTCACATGACCAGATCTCAGAGATAACTGAGCAACACAGAGGGCAACTCCGGAGAACCTTCCACCTGCAGCATGAAGGGTGAGTGACACAGAGACTAAACTGTGCAATTTGAGTTTAACTTGAAGGCAAGACCCTTTACCCAAAGAGCAGAGAAAAACCATGGATGTTTTCAAGGGGATCTTTTAAAGGGGTGTGGATGGAGTGTGTGCATATATATATATACACAGTATACGTATGTATGTGTATTTTTTTTTTTTGGTAGCAGGGATCGAACTCAGGACCTCATATATGTATGATTTGCTTTGAGGCATTAAAGATATTAAACACAAATATTTATTGCAAACTTTCTTTGTGTGTGTGTGTGTGTGTGTAAGGCCTCTGAGAGGTCCTGAGGGGATGCAAAGGTGGGTAAAGCTCTCAGTCTTGTTTTTATTAGGGCTAAGAGTGAAGAGAACCCCAACCTCCAGCCCAGGTCTCATCCTCAGACTTCCGGTCACTCTCAGCAAGCGCTGCCGTGGTAACTGGTGGATCTGCATGGCGAGTTGTCAGAACTGGAAGTGGAGGTTATACTCAGATATAATGGAATAAGAGGGGTGAAGTATGAAGAGTTTGCAACCACAGATGCCTGTTCAGTGAGAAAAGGAACGAAGACACTCTGTGTCCAGAAAAAAACAATAATAGTTTCTCCATTTAGAAAGCCAGCATGTGGAAGTAGATAAAAGAATAACTTTTCTCAAAAAGAAGACCCTGAAGAAACGGGCAAGCTATAGTTCTGTAGAGCTACTAAATCAAAAGAATGAGAGGGAAGAGAAAGGAGAAAAAGAAAAAAAAAGCTAAGAAGGAAAGAGCAAAAAAAGAAAGAGTCTGCAGAAAGGAAGAAAATGGATGATACCATTTGGAAATCTAACAGAAAGATATGAAAAAAGTCAGATAGCTGTCCTCAGAACCAGAGTGGCAAACTCCAGCTTACATTTACAAATACTCTCCTGTCCAAGGCATTGGGTGTGTGCAAAATATATTGGCAAATACATTAGTAAAATTTCACTATCCTAAAGCCTCTTAGAGCATCCACTTGGCAAAATAATGTAATCCACTGTAATGCAAAAATAATTAACTGGCTCAGCACTACCTCTAAGTCACATGACCAGATCTCAGAGATAACTGAGCAACACAGAGGGCAACTCCGGAGAACCTTCCACCTGCAGCATGAAGGGTGAGTGACACAGAGACTAAACTGTGCAATTTGAGTTTAACTTGAAGGCAAGACCCTTTACCCAAAGAGCAGAGAAAAACCATGGATGTTTTCAAGGGGATCTTTTAAAGGGGTGTGGATGGAGTGTGTGCATATATATATATACACAGTATACGTATGTATGTGTATTTTTTTTTTTTGGTAGCAGGGATCGAACTCAGGACCTCATATATGTATGATTTGCTTTGAGGCATTAAAGATATTAAACACAAATATTTATTGCAAACTTTCTTTGTGTGTGTGTGTGTGTGTGTAAGGCCTCTGAGAGGTCCTGAGGGGATGCAAAGGTGGGTAAAGCTCTCAGTCTTGTTTTTATTAGGGCTAAGAGTGAAGAGAACCCCAACCTCCAGCCCAGGTCTCATCCTCAGACTTCCGGTCACTCTCAGCAAGCGCTGCCGTGGTAACTGGTGGATCTGCATGGCGAGTTGTCAGAACTGGAAGTGGAGGTTATACTCAGATATAATGGAATAAGAGGGGTGAAGTATGAAGAGTTTGCAACCACAGATGCCTGTTCTCTTCTGATAAAACTGTGAAGTCTTCGATGTTGAGCTCAATTTCTTTTTCAGTAGAAAGCCTGAGTATAGTCTTAAAAAGAAGACACAGACAAGCCATCTCCATGTGACCTTAGAACACTGCACTTTCTGTGTGCTGATTTATTTGCTGTATATTGATGTAGCCTCTGGGTCCTTGAGGCTAAATATGGAGAACTGAATGTTCTTCCACTCACCATAATTGTAAAGAAATTGCCTGTTAAGGAAGGAAATACTTCCTGAAGCCATCATCCTACAGCTTTATGGGACTGTGAGTATGGTAACATTAACATACAGTTAAACCTTATTGGTTCAGATTAATTTGTGGAAAGTTGCAGAAATGGAGTTTAGAATATTTTGCGTCAATGTTTTCTCATACAAAACATATGAGAGCCAGTTCTATACACATGCTGGACTAGATCCTAGAAGACATCCCAAAGACACAGGACATTCTCAGTCTTGATGTTACAGTGGAGTCACCTGGGACACTTCTGAAAGATCCAGATGTGGGCAACACCCAGATCAGTGAAGGGGGCACGGGTCAGTGATAGCCACACCCAGTTCCAAGAAGATAGCATTCGGCTCGATGAAACCAGAATCTCTGCTGGGTCACTGCTTTCCAGGTGTTTGCAGTGTGCTGCCATCTGTGAGAGAACGAGATCAAAGCTCTGGAAAGCATTAATATCTAAACATCAATTGAAATAAAAAACTCTGGGGATCGGGCTGGGCTTGGTAAATTTCATAGGCTCTTCTGACCATTTTTTTGCATATGGAGAGTTTGGGATCAATGGTAGAGAGCTCACCTTCCAGGTAATTACAGTCAAGGAGGGAAAAAAGTGACTTTTATGTGAAACTTTTTAAATACAAGAAAGTCTGTGCTTCAATGCCAAAACAAATAAAAAAGCAACAAAGATTGATAAGAAAATATAAAGTAGTAAATATTTAATAAATAAATCAAGCAAGATTTAGACGTGGTATGATGGAAGTTGAATTTTTAAAGTATAAGAATTCTTGGAAATACTGCAGTACACATTTTCATCGTGAGGTCTACATGAGAGATGAAATATGATTCTCTTATTTGTCAGCATTACTTCACATTCTAAGTGCAGGAGTCGGAATTGAGAATGAGGGGCTCGGAGTGGTCTATAAGCAAGTCTGGTCTGCCTGCAGAGGGGAGCCAGGTACAAATGACTGGAAGGCAGAAGATTGTAATGGCAGAGTCTTTTTCATTCAACCCTAGAGGTGAGGTGGTGTGGGGTGAGCGTGGGAAGACTTGGGCCTGGGTCTCCAGGAGCAGCGTTTCCGAATGTGCATGGCCCTGGGTGTTCCCTGTTGAGAGCTGTGTATCCTAACGCTGACATCAGGCAATCCCAGGCTTTTTCGCTGGGATGTGGGGAGATTTGGTAGGACTCTTGGATTTGGTAGGGGCCTTTCTCATGTTCCGTTTTACTCCCATAACCCTCTCTTAGCCCTTTGGTAACAACTGTTACTGGTAGTCTCTTAAGAAAATGGAGTGAAAGATGTTACAGGATATTTCTTTGGCTTCCCATAGCATTTCATCTGAGTCCTAGTAGCCTCAGATTACTATATAATGACACCACTTTCCCAAATAGAGTCCTTCTACAGACTTAGATGACCTGCCACATGTAAATATGTACGTGACGGTCTGGGACAGTGAGCCCTCAGCAAAGGTTAGCAGTTCAACAACTCCCTCTTCCTCCCCTGCTGCTGTCCCCATCATCATCATCATCTTCCTGGACTATGGCAGGGCCCATGAAGGCAGAGAAGATCTCTTCCTTATCTTTCTTTTCCCAGCCCCCTGGCACAGGGCTTGTCCC